AGAAATGCAGATTCTCAGGCTCCACCCCAAACCTCCTCCATGAGCACCTGTATCTAACCAGAGCTCCAGACTGGGACAGGGCATCCGCAGGCCCTGCCAGGCTCTCCTCTCTCACCAAGCAGATGCAGGAGACGCCAGGGTTGGGGGGAGGCCGGGGCAGGGTGGAAGGAGCTGGATCCCGGAGCGACCCTGTGGAAGCCACCCACTAACCAGCAGTGTCAGGACGCGGGAGAGATAAACATCCGCTGTGTAGCTGCTGAGATTGGAGGCTTGCTTGTTACACGGATCTGCACAACTTCCCTCCACCGATACGCCCTCCTGCCCCCACCCAGTTCTGGCCCACCGGACAGGTTCCCTAGGGCGTCCTGACAAAGGGCTGGGGGCTCTAACACAGAAATGATGGGCTGGAGGGCTGGAGGCCAGGACTCTGAGAGTTAGCCCTCAGCCGGCCTGTTCCTTCTGGGAGCCCAAGTGGGTGTTTGTTCGATGCCTCTCGACTGGATGCTGGACGTTAGCTGTCATCGTTGGTGTCCCTTGGCGCGTAGAATCTCTGCCTCCATCTTCACCCGGCGCTCTCCCCGTGTTTGGCGGTCTGTGTCCAGATGTCTGTGCCCAACCTCTGCCAGTATGACCTTACCTAATCACAGCTGCAATGACCTGTTTCCAAATAGGATCACGTTCTGTGGTGCTGGGGGGTTAGGATTAAAACACATGAACTGGGGGGCGGGGAGAGCACAAGTCTACTCACGGCATCTCTTAATTACCTCTTGTCTCTTTCCCACCCGCAGCCACCTCCTGAGTCTGGGTCACTACCATCTCTTATTTGGACAAATCGCACTCCACACTGATGTCCAGCCCCCTGCTCTTACCCTCTACATCCGTCTGGCAGCCGGAGTCTTTGGCCTGGAGCATTTACTGCAAGCACCTTCTGGCTCTTGGCATCTCCTCATTCTTCGCCTTCTTCTTCTTTTAATGTTTATTTTTATTTTTGAGGGAGAGAGAGAGAGAGAGAGAGAGAGCGAGCGCACAAGCAGGGTTGGGGTGGGGAGGGCAGGTAGGCGATCCGAAGATGGCTCCACACTGAGAGCAGAGAACCTGTTGCAGGGCTCAAACTCACAAACCAAACTATGAGATCGTGACCTGAGCCGAAGTCAGACGCTCAACCAACTGAGCCGCCGGGCGCCCCTCATTCTTTTTTCAGTGGTAAATAACACCTAACGTTGAATTTACATTCTTTGCTGTTTCAAAGTGAACAGTTCAATAGTGTTAAGTATATTCGCATCACTATGCAGTGGACCCGGGACCTCTTCATCTCGTAGTGCCCAGGCTCTAGCCCATTAAACACTAGGTCCCCCTTCCCAGCCCCCAGCCCCCTGGAAAACCACCTTTCTACTTTCGGTTTCCATGATTTTGACTACTTCAGGTATTTTGTATAAGTGGGACCACACAGTAATTATTTGACCTTTTGTGACTGGCTTGTTTCACTTCACGTAATGTCCCCCTGGGTTCATCCATGTCACAGCACGTGACAGATTTCCCTCTTTTTCCACATCGCATAATATTCCTTGGTGTGGCCCAACCACATTTTTTTGATCTGTTCATCTGTTGACAGACATCTGGGTCACTTCCACTGGCCAGAGTCCAACAGATGTGGGACAGGGTCCCACTGCCTCCCCCTCCTCACTTACTGAATCACATCTTTAACAGATATTTTCTGAGCACTTGCTGTGTGCTAGGCAAATCCTCCTCCTCGCTCTAAAGCATCGGGGGTGAGAGGCTAGAGCCCAAGGCTTGAGCCAGGGCCTCGTTACCAAATCAGAGGGTCCCTTCTAGTGCCCTCAGGGCCCTCAGGGCGACAGAGGGCTGGGCGGCCTGGAGGGGATGGGCTCCACAGAGCTGCGCTGAGGATGCAGCCTAGGGCCGGTGGCTGCCTGTCGTTGGCCTCCAGGGGACCCCCCTACCCCGCCACCACTGGTACCTCTGGCTTTTGGTCCTTGAACCAAGCAGTCACACTTGATGTGGAAACCAGGGCTTGGGATGAGGAAGAGTCGTCTGTACTATGTGAGCGCCTTCCCTGGGGCCGTGGAGTGAATGTTTCCCTCCCTCCAACATTCCCACGCTGAAGCCCCAATGAAAGGTGATGGTATTAGGAGGCGGAGCGTTTGGGAGGAGTTTGGGTCAGAGTGGAGCTTCTTGCCCGATCAGCGCCCTTACGAGCAGAGGCCAGAGGCTTAGCTGGTCAGCCCCCGCCCCGGGTGAGGACGCAGTAAGGAGGCGAGCATCGAACACCCGGAAGAAGGCTCTCGTCAGCTCATGCCCGCACTCCCATCTCAGGCCTCTCTCGCCTCCAGAACCTTGAGGAATAAATGTCGGTTGTATGGTATTTGTTATGGCGGCCTGTGTGGACTAAGGTCACCTGGATTCCTCAAAACCTCCCAGCGCCAGAGAGAGGAGCCCCATCGGTCTTATCGCCTAGGGAAAGAGACGAGCAGACTGAACGTTGCTAATGGGTCTGGGGTTTCCTTTCAGGCTGGTGACTGGTGTGGAATTAGACAGCGGTGACGGAGGCACCACTCGTGACTATATTAAGAGCCACGGAATCATACACGTCGAGCGGTGAATTGCGTGGCGCGTGGGCAGGGTGGCACTGGGGGCGCCGCCAGCTGGCAGGGCAGGGGACAGGCAGGATGGCACCCAGAACAGCTCTGGGTCTCTCCTTGTCCGATGAGGAGGACAGCACGTGGCTGCTCCCCTCTGCTGCCCGTGCCTGGTGCCCGCAGGTGACCCAGGGCCATGGCCATGGAGGCAGTGGGACACACAGGTCCGGTGTCAGAAGAAAAAGGGCCAGGCTGGTGTTGCAGAGGGACCAACCGGGAGCCCTCAAAGTGTCTGGGCAGAAAAGGGCTGAGGTCCGGTCCCCAGAACACCAACCACCCAGCTTGTAGGTTGGGTGGGGGCAGAGGGACCCCCCCAGGGAGGCGGGGACCAGCTGCAGGGGGGTAGGCAGAGGACTGAGGAGAGGTGTCCCGGGGAGGGGCAGGGGGGCGGTCAGTGCCCGAGGGTGAGCTCTGAGAAGGATCTCCTGGCTTTAGGCACAAGGAAGTCTTTGGAGCCACCATCCCTGCAGGAAGGACATGGGAACCAGAGGCTGGGCTGGGGCCGGGGCGGGGGGGGGGGGGGGGGGGGGGGAGATGGGGGGGGTGGAGCCCGGAGAAGCATTTCGGTGCTGTTCACTTATAGCCCTGGGGACAGGAAGTGGGGGCCAGGACTCCTACGACCAGCTACTGCTCCGCATTTTAAAAAAAATGTTTTGTTTATTTTTTTGAGAGAGAGAGAGACAGCGTGAGCAGGGGAGGGCCAGAGAGAGAGGGAGACACACAGTCAGAAGCAGGCTCCAGGCTCTGAGCTGTCAGCACAGAGCCCGACGCGGGGCTCGAACCCACGAACCATGAGATCATGACCTGAGCTGAAGTCGGATGCTTAACTGACTGAGCCACCCAGGCGCCCCAACTGTTCTCCATTTTTAAAATTTCAGTTCAGGGGCATCTGGGTGGGTCAGTCGGTTAAGCGTCTGACTTCAGCTCAGGTCATGATCTTATGGTTTGTGGGTTCGAGGCCCACGTCAGGCTCTGTGCTGACAGCCAGCTCAGAGCCTGCAGCCGGTTTCAGAGTCTGTGTCTCCCTCTCTCTCTGACCCTCCCCTGTTCATGCATTCTCTCTCTCTCAGGAATAAATTTTAAAAACATTAAAAAAATAAATAAAATTTGAGTTCCTTGTACGAAGGGGCCAGCTTCCAACGGGCCCGGCCCTGTGCACTCTGCTCTGGGACTGTGTGACGCGACAGGACAGCGATGAATCTGTGGCTCTGGAACTGCGGAGGGAGTGGACTCACCGGGGGAGGCCTCTGGAGCCCAGAGCAGCCAGCGGGCCGCCCGAGGTGACGGCAGTGCCAGAATTCCTGTCCGTCTGGGAGACCCCAGTCCAAGCGACACGGACCATCCGTCCATCCTGTGCAGTCCAAGCAGGTCGCACATGGGAGGAGGAGGAGCACACGGCTGCACCCTGGAGCCCAGCCAAGCTGGGGGCCGTGGGACTGGGGACTGAGGAAGTCACCGCCCTGCAGTGACCCTGGTGGCGGCTGCGGAGCCAGACGATCCTGCAGGCTTTGTGGGTGGCAGCGGCTGCTGCGACTCGGCACTTCTTGGGGAGCCCCTCACGCCCGTGTGCGGGTCCCCGTCCATGGTGGCGCTAGGCAGAGATGGACGGGGCCCAAACTCGACCAGGTGCCTCCCTCTAGGTGTGACCTCCAGCTGTGGGCGTCCATATTTATGACACGAAGATGGATCTGGGATCGGGGTGTCCTCTCTGTTCCCACAGGGCTGTCTTTGGCCTTGGCCGTGGGCAGCTCACTGTCTAAAGGCCGCATGCTTCACGGCCGAGGGCACTGCCCGGAACACAGCCCCCGTGTGGTGCCACTGCTGAGGGCCGTCAGGCGCGGAGGTCACCTGCCCCCGGCCGGGGAGGGGACGGTTTGTGCCTGGACCATCCTGACTGCTGGCAAGGCCAGCGGCCAGGGCTCCGTGGGGCTGGCAGCTGGGTCAGCTGACGGGCCAGTTACTGGCCTGGGAAGGTCGCCAGGGTCTAAATCGGGGGTCTAAGTTGCTCCGGCCTCTGGGGGAGCCATTTCCAGTTTAAGCGTCCCTCAGTTCATGCGAACGAGGCAGAGGCCTGGGGGTGAGAGGCCAAGGCGGCGGCGGAGACTCAGGCCTCCCTCGGGGCGACACCAGGGGCTGCAGTGCCCCCTGCAGGCCTGGAGCAGCCCCTCAGCCACTGCTCCAGAGGACCGCCTCCCGCCCTGGGTCCCGCTGGCATCTGGACTCTTCTGGGGCTGCCCAGCCAAACTCCCTCCCTCCCGACACGTGCCGCTCAGACAGTGTGGCTTCATGGTGGCCAACTGTTGTCGCCAAGGGGATGAGGATGCACACACCAGTTCCACACGGTGAGATATAAAACAGGGTTTATTGGCGGGAAATGTATAAGCAGAGGGGCAGTGGGGTCCCAAGCTGTCGCTGTCCTGCAGCCGGATACTGTCTGCTCCTCGGACCGCCGGGCGGCTCTCTGCGGCGCCACCGTCCCGGACGGGAGAAGGGGCAGGTCTCCGCTGCCATCCGGCTCTGCCTCTCCTGCATCACACAGACGCGGGCGATCCACACACCGCCGGCCCGGTCGTGTCTCCCAGTGGACACCCGGGCTGGCTCCCACTGCCGGCAGTGACGCCCGCCACGGGGATCGGGACCCTGGGAAGACAGCACGGGAGAGGGAGCGTGACAGCGCGTGCAGGCTGGCCTCTGCTGTGTTGCCAGGAGCGAGGGCTGCGGCCCTGCGGCAGGTGGCCGAGGGGCGCAAAGGCCCACGTGGCCCTGTCCAGAAGACACCCGCGGAGGCCGGAGCTACGCAGGGAGGCTCAGCCCGAAGCAGCAGGAACTTCTCCAAAGGCGCCCTGGCCCAGCAGGGCCGCACCGGCCTGGAAAGTCCTCGGCCAAGTCACGTGCTCTGAAAACGGATGGGTGTTCGAGGCTCCGAGCGGAGGGGCGGGGGGGGGGGGTCTCTGTGACAAAGATGTTTCTTTGGATCTTTCCTGGGTGGGGGCCTCTCCCCACATCACCCACATGTACAGGCTGCCGGCTCCTGGCGCTCGTCTGCCAGCTCGAAGACACCGTCAGGGCTCGAAGACACCTCCTTCTGGGAGGCCCCTCGAGGAAGCGTGAAGGCCACCAGTGCTTTGGAAGAGTGGAAGAGTCTTTGTGAAGCAAAATCTGACGGGTGGAAAATGCCAGGGTCTGGTGTGGGCTCGGAGCATCCGTGGCGCTGGCAGCACGAGGTCCCCGTGGAGGAGACGGGCCTCACTGCTTCTCACTGTGCAGTTCCATGTCGTTCACCTTCCTGGTGACAAAGAAACACGTTTGTTATAAACATCCAAATGCGGCAGAAGCAGATACGGTTTCCTTTTCCCTAGAAATAACCATCAACTAGATCTTTTTATACATGTACACATGCATGCATTGTACTGTTCCTTTCATTTTTTTAATGTTTGTTTTTGAGAGAGAGTGAGCAGGGGAGGGGCAGGGAGAGAGGGAGACACAGAATGGGAAGCAGGCTCCAGGCTCTGAGCCATCAGCACAGGGCCCGACACGGGATTCAAACTCAGGAGTTGTGAGATCATGACCTGAAACGAGGTTGGATACAACTGACTGAGCCACCCAGGCGCCCCTGTACCGTTTCCTTTAAAATGAGAGAATGCTTCCTAACCTACAGTCTGGGAATTCCTGGCTTTCCACAGTGGCGTGTTCCGGAAGAGGCACCGAAGTCCCACCTCCTGCTCCGGAGTCCCTGGGGACCGGTGCGTCGCCTTTTCAAGAATCTTTGTCAAGAAACAAGAAGTTCCCTTTCATCACCGCGGTGGGTGTGGAAATCACGTACAAGTCCTCTGACACCCTTCCCTTCAGGTGCGGGAGCCTGACGCCTTCCTTCAGCGCAGGCCTCGTGTGGCGACTGGCTTCTAAGGAACAGAGTGAAGCAAGAGGGATGGGGTGCGACGTTGGTCAGAAAGTCGCCGTGGCTTCCTTCCTGTTTTCTTGAGGCAGCTTTGAGCTGCTGTTCCCATTCCAGCGTGTCCGCCCTGTGAGTGTGGAACGCGACGGGCTCTAAGGCCCCGCAGCCGTGTGTCCAAGACCATAGCCACTTCGATGGCACCCCCACTCTCCCTAAAAGTCCTGCCCCTCCTCTTCTACCTTGAGGAAGTTTGTGAAGGACGGGTGTGAATTCTTCGTTCAGTGCTTGGTAGTGGCCACCAACGACCTCATCGGGGCCTGCGCTTTTCTTGATGGGAAGTTTTAAAACCACTAATTCAGTCTTTTTGCCCGTTACAGGTCTTCGGATTTTCATATTTCTTCATGGGTCAGACTTGGTACCTGCCTTTCTAGGAATGCATTCATTCATCTGAGTTACCAGACTGGCTGGCCTCATAGCCTTCCCTTACAATCCGTGTGTCTGTGTGTGTGTGCGTGTTACACACACGCCTGTGTTTTTTTTTTCTGTGAGGTAGGCGATAGTGTCCCGCCTTTCATTCTTGATTTTAATAATCTGAATCTTCCCTATCTTTATTTTATTTGTAAATATTTTATTTTTTTAATGTTCGTTTATTTTTGAGAGAGAGAGAGAGAGAGACAGGCTGTAAGTGGGGAGGGGCAGAGAGAGAGGGAGACACAGAATGGGAAGCAGGCTCCAGGCTGTGAGCTGTCAGCACAGAGCCTGACACGGAGCTCCAACCCATGAACCTTAAGATCATGACCCGAGCCCAAGTCGGGTGCTTAGCTGAGCCACCCAGGTGCCCCCTAAAGACTTTTTAAAGTAAGCTCTACATACATCACGGGGCTCTAACTCATAGGCCCAAGAACAAGCGTCCCACGCTCCTCTGACTGAGCCAGTCGGGCGCCCCCGTCTTCCCTATGTTTAAAAACCAAACATATTTGGGGGTGAAGTAGCTAAAGTCTTGTCAATTTTGTTGATCCTTTCAAAGAACCGACTTTCCTCGATTTCATGAATTTCTATTCCCTATCATCTCCCTCCTGCTTGCTTTAGGATTGCCTCGTTCGTGTTTTTCCAGGGTCCCCATGAGGAAGTTCAAGTTAATGATTTGAGATCTTTCTTAAGTTGTGTATTTAGAGCAGATTCCCTGTGACTCCGGCTCTGCCACGGGCACGCGTTTGGGCTGTGCCTCCGTTTTGTTCATTTTGGGCTATTTTCTACTTTCCTTGGCATCTCTCCATCAGATCACTGGTCATTCAGGCGTGTGCTGTTCGTCACACATTTACGAGTGTCCCAACTTTCTCTGTGCTCCTGACGTCGGGCTTCATCGCACTGTGAACAGATGACACACTCGGTGGGAATTCAGTCCTTGTAGAGTTCTGGGGTCTTGTTTCGGGGCCGGGACTCGCCTGTCCCGGCGAGGGCTCCTGCACACTTGGAGGACTGTGAGTCTGTTGGTGGCGGCCTCCTTCCTGCCTGGCTCCCTCCTTCCAGACACTGGTCATGGGGAGAGAGCTGGCATGTTTGAGGAACACTTAGCAGCTCTGAGGAGTGGTCCACACAGGGAGAAGCGGAGGCCCGCAGCCCACGGCCACGATGAGGGAACGAGCCACCGTGGAAGCGGCTCCTCCGGCCCCCGCAAGCCTTGGGGTGACCGCAGCCCCGGCTGACCTCGTCTCCAACCTCACAAGAGGCCTTGAGCCAGAACCCCTGGCCCAACCACGCCTGAATCTTGCCCACAGAAGCTGTGGGACACAGTGACTCTGTGGCCCGAAGCCACCACGTTTCGGGATGACTTGTGGCGCAACGTTAGACAACGGACACCGTTACCCGCACACCTGCTGGCTTTCCGGAGGGACAGTCTGGATGCACAGCTGCACTTCTGGTGGAAGTTTCATGTTTTCTGAGGGGAGAAAATGGAAAACGTGGATTAGTAATTCTTCGCTCGTTGAGGCGGCTAGAGCCACAGGCAGACACTTCGTGATGACGACCTCACGGCCTCGAGGATAAAGCAATCCGGGTGGAAGGCCCTTCATGTGGGTAGCCATTGGGAACTCTGTTTCCTAATGCCCCAAACTCCCTGCACCTGGTAAAGGGGCTACTCGGGGTGTTGAGGGCCAGCGGTCAGCCCCCCCATCAAGCAGATCGAGATGGAACTAGGTTCTGGAAGTGAGGTGCCGTCCACCCAGGGGCTCGGTCGGTTGAGAGGCTGACTCTTGGTTTTGGCTCAGGGTTCATGAGTTTGAGCCCCGCCTCTGGCTCTGTGCTGACAGTGTGGAGCCTGCATGGGATTCTCTCCTTCCCTCTCTCTCTGCCCCTCCCCTGCTCATGCTCTCTCTCAAAATAAATAAAGACTTACCCAAAAAAGGGAGGTGCCCTCTACTGCGCCACAGGTGTGCTGTGACTTCTACTTCTCGTTCACACCCACTGGTGGTGTTCTCTCAAATCTCCTCTCGTTTTTGGTTTTTTGAACAGAAATCAAATTTCTTTGGGTCGTTTTATACAACTTGGATTCAATTCTGTATTTTATAAAATGTGGCCTTTATCATTTTTTTAAAGTTTATTTATTTTGAGAGGGAGAGAGCGAGTGTGAGCGGGGGAGGGGAAGAGAGGGAGGAAGAAGGAGAAAGAAGGAGAGGGAGACGGGGAGAGAGAGGGAGAATCCCAAGCAGGCTCCCTGCTGTCATCGCAGAGCCCAAACCGGACTTGGGGCCCAAACCCATGAACCGTGAGCCAAAATCAAGAGTCGGACACTTACCTGACTGAGCCACCCAGGCATCCCGTGGCCCTTATTATTTATGTGAATTGATGTAAAACACAAAAATGCCTCCTAAAGACTGGTTTTATATTCTGTTTATGTGAAGGGAACCCATTTTCAGTTCAATAAAATTAATTATTGGCAAAGCCTTATGAGCGTGCGTGTGTGCGCATGTGCGTGTGTGTGGGTGTTTGTGCACACAGACATCGGTACATTCTTCTGGAGTAATCTCTATTTTTGCATCAGACTTTCAAGAGAGACTGCTCCGTGACAAGGGAAGACCTCTTAGAATGAAAGAAAGGAGAGAGAATGAATGAGAAGGGGAGTTGTTTTTGAGGATGGGACAGGTCTGGGGGTGCTTTCAGGTTCAGGAAAAGGAGCCAGTGGACAGGGGAGGTAGAAGACTCTGGAAAGATGGAAAGGCCAGGGCATGAAGGTGCAGATGTTGCCTGGGCCCTGAGATGTCTGAGCCTTGGGCTGCCAGAGACGCGATGCCCACGGCTCTATTGTACTCCCACCCTCCGACCCCCGGCCCCGTCTCCACCTGGGTCCTCCCGCTGGGCCGCGCTGGGGAGCCGCTCCCGCTGCCTCAGGGCCTCCAGGCCCGCCAGGTCGGGCAGGTGGCAGTGGCTCCGCATCACCGTCACCAGCTGGCCCTGGGTGATGGCGCGGCTGCGGCAGCCCAGCCGGGCCTGGTCCCGGCACATCCAGTACACCTTGTCCCCAGCCGCCTTCTCCTTCCGGTAGAGGAAGGACTCGTACACCAGGAACCGGCCCCCAAGCGAGGTCCGCAGGAACTCCAGAGGCTGCGGGGGCCCTGGAAGGAAGGGGCCGGCATGAACGGGGAGCCCCGGAAGCAGGGTGCAGAGCCCGCGCGCCAGGGACGGAGGCTGTTTCCTGTGTCCCGCCAGCCCGCCCCCTGCAATCCTGCCGCAGGACCCACCCTGCTCTCTGCCTCCACACCTGCCTGTGCCATGGGGCCCGAGCACTGAAGCTCAGGCTGCCGGCCCAGGGCCCGTGGCCCGGACACCCTCGAGCACGAATGGCGGTCTCCTTCCGACGGCTTCATTGCTTCCCGGCGCGGCCTGGCCCTGCGGCCGCCCAAACCCCGAGCCTTCCTGCAGGCCTCTCCTGACCCCGCTTGGACTCCACACTTGCTGGCGGGCACCCCAGGGCAGAGGCTGGTCTGGGCCCCGCACCAGGAGCCTCCTGGCTCCTTATCCACCCTCCCTTGGCCAGCTAACAACCAGTCAACTCTCTCCAGAGGCTTTTAAGGCCCTGAATTGAAAAGTCATGCTATGTTGGCATTTGCGTGGCCACAGAGAACTGGGGGTGGGCAGGGTGGGGAGTGAAGGAGGAGGTAGGAAACAGACACGGGAGACCCAGGGAAGGGAGACGGAGGGTCCCGTAGACCGAGGGGGGTCACCTCCCCCATAAACGGGAGCTGAGCGCTTCCTGTAGTTGGGAGTGCCGCCTCACCCCCTCGCCCTGGCAGTCTGAGTGGCTTGGCTCCCAGCCAGACCAGCCCGAGCAGGGAGCCCAGATGCAGCCCGGCCTGCAGGGAGCTCACGCCGGGGGCACACAGACTAGGGTGCTTGGGCGGCCAGGCCCCACCAGGCACGGGCGGCGGACACAACATCCCAGGGGACAACCTCTGGCCTGCGCCGGGGCTGAAGGGGTGGATGAGCCAGCAGGGACCCCGGGCCCCTCCCCACCCCCTCCCCACCCTCGCACCCCCGCACCCGCACCTGAGCCTTCCCGCTGGGCTGGGCTGGGGAGCTGCTCCCGCTGCCTCAGGGCCTCCAGGCCCCCCAGGTCGGGCGGGTGGCAGTGTCTCCGCATCACCATCACCCGCTGGCCTTGGGTGATGGCGCGGCTGCGGCAGCCCATGCGGGCCTGGTCCCGGCATGTCCAGTATACCTTCTCCCCGGCCGCCTTCTCCCGCCTGTACAGGAAGGACTCGTATACCAGGAAGCTGCCCCCCAGAGGGGTCCTCAGGAACTCGGGGCCTCCTGGGGAGAGACGGGAGTGGGGGGGGGAGAGCCTGGAGCCAGGTCCTGGTGTCCAGCAGTAAGGTGATGGGGGCCCCTGTTCTCAAGGCCGGAGCAGCAGGGCTCCTGAAATGAGAGCCGCCAGCCCCAGCCCGCTCAGCACCCACAGCCTCCCAGGGAGAGGAGCAGGCCTTGGAGCCCAGGATGCATCCTCTGTCCCCTGCCCCCTCCCCCAAACCCAGTCTAGTCCCAGGCCCCGGGGGGAGGGGGGGCGGGGAGGGAGGGGCTCCGTTCCTGAGCCAAGGAGTGAAGGGAGGCAGGAGATGGGGGAGGCGGAGGCCCTGAAGGCAGAAATCTGTCTCCCCACCTCGGGTGCCTGCAGGAAGGCGGCCCCTTCCCACACCACTACTTATCCTTGGCTCCCGGGGCCAGGCAAAGGGGGTGCACACGGCAGTGCGGTCCTTGCCGAGTGGAAGGGACAGGTATTGGCCCTTGGGGATGTGGCTCAGGAGTGAAATGGGAGTCAGGGTGAAGTTGTGTGCAGCGGGTGAGCTGTGGGGCCGAAGAAGCACCCGCTCCCCGTGGGTGGGAACGTGACCTGAGGGCGGTGGCCGGAAGCAAGAACTAGCAGACAGACACCATGTCTCGGAGTGTTGAGGGTGAGGACCCAGAGGGAGGCTGTGCCTGGGCGCACGGGGTGGGGGGGACCACAGTGGGAGCTGGAGACTGACTGGGGAGTCTGGGGGGTGACTGTGCTCCGGGGACAGCAGCAGTCAGTGCAATGGGGTATATGACATGGCCCTGAAGTGACCTGGCATGACACAGCATGACAACATGCACTGAAGTGACAAAGGCACAGTACCCCAGGCCTGGAGCAAAGATGCACCCAGAACATCAGAGGTGGGGAGAGGGGGCATGTGGTCACAGCCCGGTGGGGAAGCCACTGAGGACCCGAGAGCCCAGGGGCCATGCCCAAGATGGCGGGGATGCGGAGTCCCTCTGAAGGTGGCGTCTAGGGCAGGGGGACTGGGGGAGCAAAGAGCCCAGGGCTAGAGGTGGTGGAAGTCTGTCCTGCAGGCCCGCACTTCCTGCCCATCGCCCCTGGCAGCTCCCAGAACCCCGCCCAGTGGGTGCCCCGGCTGTGGGCACTGGCGAGCCTGCAGCCCCGCAGCGGCAAGGCCTGGGGCCTCGAGCCAGAGTTGCCACTCACGGCCGCAGCCACCTGACCGCAGGCCCCCATCGGCACCACATCCCAAGCTTGTCAGCCTTGCCTTGGGCATCAGCAGCTGGGCACGGGTCACCCGACATTCTAGACGAGCTTTACCCGGAAGGAAGAGACCAAAACAGACACACGGAGAAAGGGCACGTGGGGAAAACGAGGCCATCACCAGGGGCAGGAGTCCGGGGCCTGCCGTCCTGAGGCCATGGAGTGCAGACAGTTGTCCAGATATGACATCAGAAATGCAGACATTAGAGGCAAAGGCTGGGAGACAAGACGCAGGGAGGGTCCCAGGCAGTCAGGCCGGACGACGGACATCCGACCGACAGGCGCAACGGAGGGAAACGGGCAGGGAGCAGAAGTCACAGAGGAGCAGGGCAGAGTCACGCTGAGGGAGGGGACTGGGTCTCCGGGCCCGAGGCCCCGGCATAGCCAGGTATCCCGGGGATGGAGACGCGGCCCCCAATCGTCAGCAAAGACGCATCCCGTGCACGGGACCAGTCCTCCCGGAGCCGCGGCCGGCCAGGACCCGGGCCAGACAGCCCAAGGGAAGGCCTTAGCCCAGGAGCCCGCCGGCCCCCACAGGTGGGTCTCTGCAGCAAGGTGAGGGGGTCAACCAAGCAAGAGAAAGGGGCCCAGGAGAGGGGCCCCTGGGGGACGGGAGCCCAAGCTGGGGCCGCCTGCTGCCTGGCCACTGCGTGCTGAGGACACCGGATGAGGCCAACATAGAGAGCAGCTGCTGAGGGCAGAGGGCGGAGAAAACAGCCTCGGGAAAAGGACCGGGTGCCCTGCAGGTGACTGCCCCCCCTGCTGAACAGGAGACAGACCACCACAGGGGCACTGGGAGGGAGGGGCCGTGGCCAGGGCCCCTGTGCTCTCCTCGTCAGCAGGCCGAGAGACTTGAAAACCAGCTGAAAGCAGCAGAGGCACAGACCATCCTATGAGCGGCTGGTTACCTGGGGGAGTAGGGGTGAGGACTCCTTGTGCCTTGCGACCTCTTCCCCTGTACCCAGTCACATGGAAATGGGATAAAAAATGAGAATCAGAAGGAAACAAAATCAGGGACACCTGGGTGGTTTACTCTCTCTTTGCCCCTCCCCAGCTCACTCTCTCTCTAAAGAAATAAAATTAAAAAAAAAAATCAGATCTCAAGTTTGAGGGAACTTTGGGGCCAAGAAGACTTTATATAAAAAAAAAAGGTTTATTACTTACTTTTGAGAGAGGGAGACAGACAGAGCGGGAGCAGGGGAGGGGCAGAGAGAGGGAGACACAGAGTCCCAAGCAGGCCCCAGGCCCCGAGCTGTTGGCACAGAGCTCGACACGGGGCTGGAACTCACGAACCCTGAGATTGAGACCTACGCCGAAGTCTGACGTTTAAGTAACTGAGCCCCCCACGTTCCCCGGGGCCAAGAAGACGCTAAAGACAACTCCACTTACTCAGAAACCCATAGGAACGCGGGCCCCTGAAGGACAGGCGGGCGGCCCTCGCACACAGACCGGCAGCCGGGTGGGGGGACCAGACTGGGCCCCAGTGCTCTTCTTAGCAAGAGGACGAGGGGAATTCCGACCAGAGAGGCCAACACAGGGTGGACAAAGATGAAAAGCAGGGCTCTGACCCTTGTCACGGGTCCCTTAGGGACCATGACATTTCTGGAGAACTTCAGGAGGAGAGTAGAAATGTCACCTCCCACCCCTAAGCCACTTGGTCTGTAGGATGTGCTTGCTACAGACACGTGTCAGCCACTCACAAAAGCTACTTGTATAATTAGCTTCTCTGTAACTCTTGCAAATTCATAAGAAAAAAGGGGGAAGAGGCGGAGGAAGAGGAGGGGGAGCCGGGGTTTACCAGGCGCTGCACAGATTTCGGCACCGGACTGGGTAGGCCTGGGAGAGGTGGGAGACGGCTGTAACTACTTCCAGAGTGTTCCCATGAGGACAGGCGGGTGCTTGCTGGGGGAGGCGGCGGCAGGGTGGGGGCGGGGGTAGAAGGGTCAGAGGGAAAGACTGGCTGTCTGGGTCGTCTGCCTGTCCCCTAGGCCCACCGGGCGTCTGTCCTACCTGCGCTCCCCCGCTGGGCCGCACCAGGGCGCTTCTCCCGCTGCCTCAGGGCCTCCAGGCCCCCCAGGTCGGGCGGGTGGCAGTGGCCGCGCATCACCGTCACCCGCCGGCCCTGGGTGATGGCGCGGCTGCGGCAGCCCATGCGGGCCTGGTCCCGGCACGTCCAGTACACCTTCTCCCCGGCCGCCTTCTCCCGCCTGTACAGGAAGGACTCGTACACCAGGAAGCTGCCCCCCAGAGGGGTCCTCAGGAACTCGGGGCCTCCTGGGGAGAGACGGGAGAGGTGGGGGGGAGTTCAGGGTCTTGGGGTCCCCTCCTACTTCCCTGGACCCGAAGAAGCATGGCTGGAGGGGGCCCAGCTCCAGGCCAGGTGAGAAGGACTCACCTAGGTCGTCGTCCTGGTCCCCAGCGGGGGAGCCCTGCAGCGCTGGGGGCTGGGCCGGGGGGACCTTCGTGCGCTTTCTAGGCCGGGCTCTGCTGAGCGGCAGGGGCCCGGCCCCGCTGCGGGAGAGCAGCTCGTCCACGTGGCCCCCAGGCCCACCCGGCCGGGCCTGCAGCGTCTCCATGGCCTTCTCCTGCTGCCGCCGGGCCTCCAGGCCCTCCACGTCGGGCGGGTGGCAGTGGCCGCGCATCACCGTCACCCGCTGGCCCTGGGTGATGGCCCGGCTGCGACAGCCGCGCAGAGCGTGGTCCCGGCACGTCCAGTACACCTTGTCCGCCACGGCCTTCTCTCGCTTGTAGAGGAAGGACTGGTGCACCAGGAAGCTGCCCCCGTAGCACGTCCTCAGGAACTCCAGGGGCGGGGGTTCTCCTGGGGGAGGGGGCTGGGCGGTCAGGGCACCGAGCAGAGGCCCAGGGGGTGCAGGGGCCAAGCGCCTCCTCCTCTATGCTGACCTTTATTGCAGCTTCCCCTGAGCTGGACGTGCGTGGGCCCCGGGCGCACTCCCACGGACCCCCCACCCAGGACCCGGGAGGAGATGCGGTTCCTCTCCTGATGGTCAGTGCGGTGGCCACGGATCCCGGTGGCTACACATCACATCCAAGGTCACGCACCCGGGAAGGACGGAGCCGGCTTTGACTTCACAGCCTATGCGCTCAGTCACTCACGGCCATGCTTGTTTTTAGAGCTTGTAAGCAACTTTTATCTAATTTTTGAATAATACATACACGTGCTATAGAAAACAAATGGTGGTAAAAGACACACAGGGAAAAACGAGTCTTCCATGCCCCACCTCGCCTCTGTCAGCCCTCGGTACCAGGACAGCAGCTACCCTAAATCCTTACAACCTTGAACCTGGGTCAGGAGGGAGCGAACCTTTGGGATGGAGACGACCTCGCGCTTACTGCTAGTAAAAGCCACGCAGCAGACTTCAGGCGCCGGGCGCTCAGCACCAGCACAACCCAGACCCACCTAAACCCTCCCCCCCCCCACCGCGCCTATCACACACCCAACTGCCCCTGCTCCTGAGCTGCACCCAGCCCCGATGGAGCTCCCAAAACTCCAGAACTTCAGCACATATTCTGAAGTCAACAACCTACACAAGGTGGGTCTGTGACTTGAACCTGGCCCAAAGCTCAACATTCTACCCTGGGCGAACCTTCCCTAAACTCCTGGGTTTCCAGGACCACCTGGGCCTGTGAAAACTCGGGTTTCTGGCCTCACACCAGACCCTGCTGCATCAGAAAGTTCCAGAAGGCCCTGGGACCCCTGGTTCTGGAGCACTAGCTGTAACCCATGGGCTTAACGATTTGGGGGACATGCTTATTTTTTAGTCATGTTGACTTTGAGCACATTACAAAGCCACGAGGGACCCCCCCACTTCCATATAGGCACAGGGAAGGGCCTGCAGGCTCCCGCTCACCCCAGAGTGGAGGCCAGCTGTGAGGCACTCACCGGTCCCCAGTGTTGGGCGTTTCTTGGGGGGCAAGCTCAGCAGCGACAGGGCTCGTAGGCCCTCGTCCTCCTCTGTGGCCGGCTTGCTCAGCACCACGCCAGGGGTGGGCTCTGGCTCTTCAGGGCACAGCCATGGGCCCACCCCCTCCAGTGGCTCCTCCACTTGGCCTCCAGGGCCCTCCGGACCCCCTAGGCCTTCAGGCAGGGCCGGGCTGGGCAGCTTCTGTCTCTTGCGCCGGGCCTCCAGGCCCTCCTCGTCAGGCGGGTGGCAGTGGCCCCGCATCACGGTGGCCCGTGGGCCCCGGGTGATGGCCCGGCCACGGCAGCCCAGCTCAGTGTGCTCACGGCACTTCCAGTATACCTTGTCCCCCACAGCCTTCTCCTGCTTGTACAGGAAGCACTCGAGCACCAGGAGGCGGCCCCCAAAAGGGGTCCTCAGGAACTCCAGGGGCGTGGGGGCTGCTGAGGGCAAGGGGGGACAGGGTTAGCTGGTGCAGAGCAAGGCTTGAGGCCAAGGGCATGGATGGGAATGACGGGGGATGCACAGGGATGACATCCTGAGATCGTCACACCAGCTTGAGACAGTCGTGATGAGAGACAAAGATGCTTAGCTCAGAGGAGGGATGGGACTCCAAGGCCACCCCCCTGGAAAGGGGGGACACAGGGCCTATGTCTGAGCATGCAGGGCCACAAAGGTGGCTGGGCCAGAGGCGCAGGCCTGGAACTCACCTGGGTCTGGCTGGCTGCATTTATGCTCAGGGACCTGGGGGGTTGGCTGGACTGTCTCCGCTTGCTCCTCCACTGGCAGGATCTGAGGGGTCCTGGCTAGTGTGTCAGGGTCACACATCTCCAGGGACAAGACACAGTGCTCTCCTTCGGGCTGGGAGTCCACCTCATCCACGTTCTCTGTGGAGGCTGTCAGCAGGACCAGTTTGGAGAACTTCCTGGGCTTCCTGGGGGCTGCGGGGACGACGTCTGTCCCTGGCTCAGGGGACTCGGGGGACGGCTCCTGGCCGGCCTTCACACTCTCGCCCTCCTGCTCGCTGGGCTCGGGCAGGGGCATCCTGGGATGATGGCCTGTCCCCCAGGCCACGCTCAGGGCCCAGCAGACAGATTTCTCTTCCTGCTCCTCTTCCCTGGTACGGACCCTGGCAGTCCAGGGGCTCCGGCCTAAGGAAGGAGGCAAAATCCATCAGTGGAGGCTCCCCCGGGCCGGGGGCTCAGGAAAGCGGGTCTGGGGTGGAGGTCGAGGCAGACGGGGCTGCCTCAGTGCCCCCAGGGTGAAAAGCTGGGGAGGGTCCTGCACGGGGCTGGAGAGCCCTGGGGCGGTGCTTCTGCCGGGCCCCTTCCTCTCTTGGGCAGCCTGGGGCCTGTCACCTCGCCTTCCCAAACTCCACTTTCCCATCGGAAACTGCCAGATGCAGGGCTCTCGGGGCTGGTGGGGCCACTGAGGCACCGAGAACCGGGCGCTTGTACGCAGAGGCCCGAGGGTGCTGAGCACGCGGTGGCTGGCTTCCCGGGGTCCCCGCTTCACTTGGCCCCGTGTTCTGAACGTCGATCATTCTCATTGACCCGATTTACAGATGAGGACCCGGAGGCACGCCAGGATGGCCGACACAGCCGTGACGTCCGGAGCTGGGGGTCTGCTTGAGGCGGACCCGGAGCCTGTCCCCACACGGAGCCGGCTGTGCCTCCCCCAGGATAGCATCCCCGGCCTTCCTGAGCACCAAGCACCGGAGGCAAGCACTTGGGACACGGGCTCAGGTCCCAGACCCTCTCAGAATGCCCGGTGGCCTTCGTCCTGACACGGAGTCCCAGGCAGACCGGGGCCGGGCACCCGCTGGCCCTCCGCACACCACAGAGGGGAAGCCTGGCCCTGGGAGGCGGGGCTCTCTGGACTCCCAACTAGATCTGTCCCCCATCCCGGGCGGGAGGCCTGGACCACGGGACATGGAGGTGCCAGGGCCCCAGGTGGGCAGTGACCTTGTGCCTGAGCCGGTGCTGGCGCTGCCTCGGCTGGGGGGGGATGGGGCTGCAGAGGCGTCTGCGCAATCCACAGTCACTGAGGGCTCCCGGATTCTGGAGATTCTGGGGAAGCAGAAAAGACGTATTACAGAGGCTGACGGCAGGGCTGGCCTGGAAACGGGGCCCGGTGCATCCATGCGGAGTGGCCGTTTTGTCTGATGGGGGGACTGGGTGGTGGGCAGATGGCAGGGTCTCCCTCCGTTTATAGTGCTAGTCCAGAAAGAAGATCACATCCTTAGCAGGCATCTCACCTTCCCGTCTCGGGACCCAGGCGATGGCAAGGATCCCAGACACCTACCTGCACCCCCCCGACCCCTGCCCTGGCCCTGTTTATCCAACCTGGTTTGCAATTCTGTTTCCTGGGACCCCTCCCAATACACATGACCTGATGGCGCCACGGCCAGTATTCAACATTTCCAACACCCCAAACGTGAGAGGGGTCGGGTGTGATGCCAAAGAGGGGTTGAGGTGCCTTATCCCCTACAAGCTCCTCCCCGGCCCCTTAGCCTCTGGACGTGAAAGCAGAGACCTCTCAGAGTGCGACAGACATGGAGCCCCGACCACC